CGCGGGGTAGGGGCGGCAAGGGCAGCGGTCGCCGGAAACCGGCACCAGCTGCCTGCGCGGAGTCAGCCGAGCAGCTGGCCGCGGAGGGCAGGGCTCTCTCAAGCGCTGCCCGTTCGGCTGAGTCCTCTGCGGCTGAGATGTCCGGCGTGGAGATGCCTGAGAACGAGCTCTCCGAGAGTGAGCGCAGCTCCGAGAGCCTCCGCCTGGCCGTGCAGGAGGAGCTCCGCAAGGTGGCCTCGAAGAAGACGGTGCAGGGCCGAGTCGCCATCTTGAACGCGGCGGAGTCCGCCATCATGGCGGCGGCCTTGGAGCGGTGTGCGCTGCCCACCGCTGACAGGGTACAAAAGGAGCTGGGGGAGATGCGGCGGGAGTTGGCGCGCTTGGCGGCCTCCAACGCGGCTCTGGAGGCCGAGCTGCGATCGGCTAGGGCCGGGCTCGCCGCTGCCCGGGAAAATCATCCCCAGCCCCAGCCCTCAGCGGATGCCGACGTGGTCGGTCTGCTGCGCAGGGAGATGGCGGCTTTCCAGCGTCGTTTCGACGTGCTGGAGGGCCGACTCCTTCGCCCCCCGCTAGCGTCGAGTCAGGTCGCCCCACCTGCGTCTCCGCGCTCGTATGCGGCCGCTGCGGCCAAGCCCTCGACCTCCACTGGTCAGGCTGGCCGCGGTCCCCAATCGCCGGCAAAAGCGCGAGCGCCTCCTCCCGCGAGGCCCTCGGCGCCCCCGCCGGTGCAGACCCCGGCTGCGCCGACGGCGCCTGCGCCCGCGGGTCGCAAAAAAAGGAGGAGAACTCCAGCCCGGCAAGCTGGAGTTGCAGCAGCGGCGGCGGAACCCGCCCCACGAGTGGAGGACGGCGGCGGGTGGCAAATCGCCGGCGAGACGAGGAGAGTCGCCAGGGAGGGCCGGAAGCGCCGCAAGAAGGCGCAGCGGCAGCGACGGCAGCAGCAGCGCAGGGAGAAACGCGCTGCTGCCTTGCTCCTCGCCCCTAAGACCGCGGCTGTGGTTATTACACTGCAGCCCGAGGCGGTCAATAGGGGCGTTACCTACGGCGACGTCCTCGCCAAGCTCAAGGGGGCGGTAACACCTGCGGAGTTCGGGGCCCCGGACGGGTTTGCGGTCAAGGTGACCGCTACCGGAGCCCGTCTACTGGAGGTCCCCGGCGCGGCCAGTGGCCCGTCGGCCGACGCCCTGGCTGAGAGGCTTAGGGCGTGCCTCGGGGCAGACGAGGCCCGCGTGTCCAGGCCCACCAAATGCCTGGATGTCAGGATTATGGGCCTGGACGACTCTGTAACGCAGAGTGAGGTGGTGGCCGCTGTGGCCAGGACGGGAGGGTGCCCTGCTGACCAGGTCAAGGCGGGCACCATCCGTCCGGACAACTCGGGGCTGCGCACAGTGGTGGTGAGCTGCCCCGTCACAGCGGCCAAGAAGCTGAAGGAGGGCAAAAGGCTCTTGGTGGGATGGGTCTCGGCGCAGGTCAAGCTGCTCGAGACCCGGCCTCTGAGGTGCTATCGCTGCCACGTGGGCGAACACGTGAGCGTTAAATGCACCTCGGAGGTGGACCGCAGCGACTGTTGCTTCCGCTGCGGTCGGCCCGGTCACAAGGCTGGCTCGTGTACCGCCCCGCTGCACTGCAATGCATGTGCGGCGGCTGGCAAGCCGGCCAATCACCGGGTCGGGAGTAAGGGCTGCTCCCCTCCTGCCAAAGCCAAGGCCAAAAGTAGGCCCTCCTCCGCCCCCGTCGTTTCCCGCCGGCCGCCGCCACTGCCGCCGCAGTCGCCGCTGCCGCCACTGAGAGGTCGGAATGGACTGCCAATAATGGCCCCATTCCGCCTCCTCCAGGCGAACATCAACCACTGCGCCGCTGCTCAGGATCTCCTGCTCCAGAGCATGGCGCAGTGGTCGATCAATGTCGCCGTGGTCTCCGAGCCGTACTTTGTCCTGCCCAGGGATCACTGGGTGGCGGACCTGGACGGCTCGGTGACCATCATCGTCGGCCGCCGCCGGTACCCCGACTCTTGAGGCTGCTCAAAGAGGCCGGGGTTGTGTCGCAGCACGGTTCGGAGAGCTCGCTGTGGTGGGCGTGTACTTCTCTCCGAACCGAACTCTCGCCGAGTTCCACAACTCCTTGAGGAGTTGGTCACTGTCGTCGTCGGGTTCCGTTCCCTCCCCGTGCTCGTCCTCGGGGACTTCAACCAAAAACTTGGCTTGGGGTTCCCGGTTCACCGACGTCCGGGGTAGGATGGTGGAAGACTGGGCCCTTGAGACAGGCCTAGTCGTCCTGAACCGGGGTTCTGTCCCCACGTGTGTGCGGATGCAGGGCGAGTCGGTGGTGGACATTTCGTTCGCCAGCCCTGCTCTGTCACCGCGTATTGTTGGCTGGCGTGTCATGGAGGAGGTGGAGACGTACTCCGACCACCGGTATATCCGGTTCGACGTCTCCGCCGAGTCCGCAGACCCGCCGGTCAGACAGGCCCCATGTGGCCCGCGTTGGGCGCTGAAACAGCTGGACCGGGAGCTGCTCCTGGAAGCCGCCATCGTGCAGGCCTGGGTGATACCACCGGTCAGGCCTGCCGACATTGACGATGAGGCCAAGTGGCTCCAGGACGCCATGTCCAGGATCTGTGACGTGGCGATGCCCCGGATCCGGTCGAGGCAACAGAAGCGCCAGGTGTACTGGTGGTCGCAAGAGCTGGCGGCTCTGCGCAAGGCGTGCACTACTGCGCGACGCCAGTACACTAGGCACCGCAGGCGCCGTATCCGTCCTCCTAATGCGGAGGCGAGAGAGGCGGAGTTATACGAGGGATACAGGGCGGCGAAGGCCCTCCTCAAGGCGGAGATATTGCGGGCCAAGGAGGAGGCCCGCCGAGAGATGCTGGGGACTCTGAATAGAGACCCGTGGGGACGCCCGTACCGGATGGTGCGCGATAAGCTCCGCGCCTGGGCTCCCCCGCTCACTCAGAGTCTCCGGCCAGAGGTCTTGGAGGAGGTGATAAGCGCCCTGTTCCCCCGACCGCGGAGGCGCTTCAGGCCTCCGTATATGACTCTGCCCCCTGCGGTGCCCGACGCGGGCTATAGCGACGGCGACGATGACCTCGTCCCAGAGGTGACCGAGGCAGAATTGAGAGCGGCGGTGCGCCGGATGGGCGCCAAGAACACCGCCCCAGGACCCGACGGCTTGCATGGCAAAGCATGGGTCCTGGCCTCAGAGGCTCTCGGGCCTCGATTAATCGGTCTCTACAGCGCATGCTTGGAGAGAGGCCAGTTCCCGCTTCTCTGGAAAGCGGGCAAACTGGTCCTCGTGCGGAAGACGGGGCGCCCTGCGGACTCTCCGTCCGCATACCGGCCCATAGTGCTGCTCGACGAGGTGGGGAAAGTCTTCGAAAGAATCATTTCGAACCGCCTCGTCGCGCACCTGACGAACATTGGGCCGGACCTGTCGGACGGCCAATTCGGCTTCCGCAGAGGGCGCTCCACGGTGGACGCCATCATGCGCGTTAGGGACCTCACGACGGGGACTGCAGTGTCCGGGGGTAGAGTCGTGGTGGCGGTGTCTTTAGACATCGCCAACGCCTTCAACTCCCTGCCCTGGAGCTGCATCTTGGAGGCACTCCGATATCATGGGGTGCCTACCTACCTCCGTCGTGTGATCGAGGCTTACCTGACGGACAGGTCCGTCAGCTACCCCGGTCACCGGGGCGAGTGGAACCGGCGAGAGATGTCACGCGGTGTTCCACAGGGTTCGGTTCTGGGGCCGCTCCTGTGGAACATCGGCTATGACTGGGTGCTGCGCACCGACCTCCCGAACGGCGTTAGCACAATATGCTACGCCGACGACACGCTGGTGCTAGCGCACGGGAGGTCGCACCAGGCGGCGGCCGATTTAATGGCGACAGCGGTTGCGACAGTCGTTGAAAAAATCCGGCAGTTGGGACTCGAGGTGGCGCTCCACAAGTCCGAGGCCATGTGTTTTCATGGCCGCGGGAACGCGCCACCTCCGGGTGGGTCCCAAATAATGGCGGGAGGGGTTACCATCGGCGTCGAGACGACGATGAAGTACCTGGGACTCGTCCTCGACAGTCGGTGGAACTTCGTGGAGCACTTCCGACGTTTGGCTCCAAAGTTGGCGAGGGCGGGGGCTGCGTTTAAGCGCATCCTCCCCAACCTCGGGGGGCCAAACGCCTCCTGCCGGAGGTTATACGCCGGGGTCGTGCGGTCCATGGCCCTCTACGGCGCCCCTGTTTGGGCGCCGAACTTGTTGCGGCGTCCTGCTCGGACGCTGCTCATGTCACAGAGGGTCATGGCGATCCGAATGATCCGCGGATACCGCACGATCTCTGGGGAGTCGGCGAACCTCCTTGCCGGATTACCGCCGTGGGATCTGGAGGCGAAGGTGCTCGCGCGCGTGTATAACATGCGCGCGGAGGCACGTCGCCGGGGCGAAACTCCGCTGCCGCGCCAAATAAGTGCGTGGCGGGATGAGCTCCGGCGCGATCTCATGGCGGAATGGCAGCAACGACTGTCGCAACCGGGGGCTGGGCTCGCTGCCATTGCAGCGGTAAGTCCCCTCTTTGAGGAGTGGCTTGAGAGACGCTACGGCGTCCTCACCTACCGCCTGACGCAGGTCCTCACCGGACATGGAAGTTTCGGGAGGTACCTGTGTCTGATGGGGCGGGAGGAAACGCCCGGGTGTCATCACTGCGAGGACCGCCCTGAGGACACGGTGGAACACACAGTGGGAGAATGCCCTGCGTGGGCTGAGCACCGCCGTGCCTTCAGGGAAGTGATCGGCGATGGCGACCTCTCGCGTCCGGGCCTAGTGCAGGCCATGATGCGGAGCGAGGGGGATTGGGATGCCGTCTCCTCCTTTTGCGAAGCAGTCATGCTAGCTAAGGAGGAGGCGGGACGCGTGAGGCAGCGAAGCGCTGCCTCCTCGCAACCCAGCCATCGCGAAGGACACACCGGGCGTCGGGGATCGCGAGACGATCTCCGGCCACCGTAAGCGCGGGCCTGCGGACGGCGAGCATGGGTGGCTCCCCGTCCGACCAGAAACAGACCCGAGCGTACGGCGCGTCGCGTTCCGCGCGCGCCTCAAAGAGCCATCAGACCACCACAGATGGGGCCCAATAGGGCCGATGCCGATTCGGAGTCGCGGAGAACCTAACGGGTAACCGGGGCTCCGGCTCGACGTGCAGGAGAAGGAACGGGGTGGTTTTTAGTCAGTAAGAGTCTGACACTCCCTTCCGCCTCACCCAGGCGGGAGCAGTCATTCGATGATTTTCCCCCCTTAAAAAAAAAAAAAAAAAAAAAAAAAAAGATGGATGTTTTATAACATGTTGATGTGTGTTAAGTCTCTGATTAAATCTGATGTCAGGCAGTCTATTTCCTGTCTTATAAACGCTATTGAATTGCTAACAAAAAAAGAGGAAATGAAATAAATACAAGGTCGATTTTTCAATTTCCCTTTTTGTATAGAGAATTTGTTAAATATTATTGGATGGAAGTGGGTATTAATAAAAATGATGTTGAGTTTGGGAGAATATTTTACTTACTCTTATCGAATTGTTGTAATTTTATGGGTCGTTTCATGTTCGGACATTGGTTTAAAATAAAATATTTCTCTAAAGTGTTTTTAGTTTCGACATTTGTCTATAAAAAGTATATAGACATAATGTCATCACTCTGATCTGATTTAAAAAATGTGTTCAGTAATCAGTCGATTCGGAACAATAACAAACTCCATAACATTTTCAAAGATTATAAAATCCAACCCATTCCTGAATATTCAACGTCGTACGTTGGTACGACGTTGAATATTCAGGGTCAAAAAAATGCATCCATAAAAAGAGGAGTATATAGATAAATATATATTTATCTGTGTGAGAATATTAGTTAGAATATTCTCAATATGAAGAGCATTGAAATAAAAATTCAGTAATCAGTCAATTCGGAACAATAATAAACTCCATAACATTTTCAAATAGTTATTATAAAATGGAATCCATTTATAAATATTCAACGTCGTACCAACTAGAGTCAAAAGCCTAGTACTTAATAAAAACCAAGACAGTAAGTAATACTCTTCTAAAACACCTCAATATTTGTCACAGCTTCAAGGTCAAACAAAATGAGCCGTGTTCATTTGACAAATGTAGAAAATATTTTTCTGGCATCCATGCTCACTTGCTCACGGCACTGGTAAATTAGCCTTCAGTATACAGCATTCAGTGTAATTTACTCCGTTCGTCCGTCTGTCAATTTCTGAAAGCCCCTGGTAATGACACTAACGAGGATAAACGAAATGCAGAAACTGCAATGTTCGAATGTAATCCTACCTTGCCTACTGGGGTAAATAATATTTTGCTAGAGCTCGAGAAGTTTTAGTTCTCTACTGACATAGTCATATTATTTTCTATTTACACATTTTTTTTAAAGGGGGAAAATCATCGAATGACTGCTCCCGCCTGGGTGAGGCGGAAGGGAGTGTCAGACTCTTACTGACTAAAAACCACCCCGTTCCTTCTACTGCACGTCGAGCCGGAGCCCCGGTTACCCGTTAGGTTCTCCGCGACTTTCTATTTACACTAGTAGGAGCCTAAGACTCGATTTTTTCAGTTAGTTGGTCTAAAATACAAACACAGTACATTGTTTTCTGAAGTGGAACGACTTACTAAACTTTTTAGACGAAAATCCTACCAGCACCGTATATTTAAATGTTAAAAAAAAACAAAAGAGCCATTTGACGTAATTTTACTAGAGAATAGGCAAAGGTAAGATTTTTAAAGAAAATACAGCCCATACAATGTCCTCGTAAGCTTCATTTAAGCTTGAGAAACCGACTTAACTGCTTAAGGAGGTTTTCATTTTGCAAAGGATAATTTCTACTACTTTATTAACTCGTCGAGTACCGTATTTATAGACACAATTAAAGAACAATAGGTTGCGGTCACCGGTGACCGCTTGGTGTTTGACAGTTTAAAATAAGAAGAAAAAAATATGTGACGTTTACCTGTGACCTTGAAAAGTTCGCTGCTCTCTTTATTTAAGAAATATGCGTAAAGTTTGGTTTATGAACTTAATTAAGAATTTTGTGTCACACTAGGTTTCGTTTTATGTGTAAATTATTACAGAAAGACAGAGCCTACCTTGATAATTGGGTCTGTATATGCAAAAGTCTCGGATTTCATTTTCAAGTCGAGTAAAATAGGATTCTGTGCCATTCTTTGAACATTTTTTAATGTTATAGACCCGATTTTTCTAATACCAGGTAAATTACATCGGAGGAATAAATTTTGTATATTTTATAATTCTTCTCGACTAAAACAGTTCAGGGCCGATTTTTCAATCGTCAGTTAATTCTTAGCTCTAGAATAAAATTGACACAGGACAGTTTGTAGTGTGGAAGAATTGTCAAATATTCAAAGTTAATATTCATTTCAGTTAAAATTTATATGGTGTTGAAAAAATCGGCCCTTAGTGCGATTTTATTTTACAATTAAGAATTATCTGTTGATTGAAAAAAGCATATATACGGTCGAATTGAGAACCTCCTCCTTTTTTTGAAGTCGGTTAAAAATCAGCCCTAATAAGAATATTATGTTAAAACTACTTCAACGTCATCGTCAATCATCACACTCAAAGTGCCTATAATATTTGTCTTTATGTTTTGCCTTTAACATTTTCCTATTCAAAGAAAAGCCAATATATCGTTCCTGTTATTGAATACTATCAATAAATTCTAACATATGCACGTTCCATGAACCTCAGTACTCAGAACCAGGCACTTAACTAACGGGCTCCTAGTAGTTCATACATGTCATTAACGATGCTCCACACAAGTTATTATTCACTTAGCAAACTATTAAAAGTTAGTTCAGCATCTAACAAGAGAATAAGTCAGTTCTAAACTTTGATATAGCTCCGCTTTTACACACTGAATTATTAAATCATTATGAAAAGTATAGCCTGTCCTTGTTTCACCTGAGGGTGAAGTATATTTTGCTCTCTGTTCAGTACGGGGATTTTGTAATTAGAAGAATTTATTCTACATTCGTAGTTCCATGTAAATAAATAATTAACGATATATTGTTGTTTTAGTACTGATATCTGCAATATACCAGTTCAGCTTTAATTCAAGAAAGAGACAAGCCTATCATTGGACATGACTCTAGTCATTGTGCTGTAACTGAGAATGACTCAAAAACCTTAGAACCATTCCTGATAACCTAACTCAGGACAAGAACCATGGCAAAAACTTACCGAATTTTTTACTTTAAAAGTAGGTAAATATTCAGATTATTTTTCTGTGTAAGTATTTTAATAAGTGACACAGAGGTTATACCTGTACTATATCCACAAGTACATTGTGCAGAGTGAACAAAAACCTACCACTGCAGTATTGCATTTGTTACGTAATTATTAACTGTTTTAACAAAGTTACTCAAAGCATTCCTAGTTTTGGATTCTATGACTTTAGTTACAACTACAATGCAGTGCTTTTGTTGATTCTTGTTAGCACACTGCTGAATTGCAGCTTTATATGTAACTTTATTTAATTTAAGCGTATATTTAGCAAGAAAAATATACAGGAAACAATAAACAATATTTTTGCTCTGAAATGGTATGAGTTAAAAGTTTTGCCAATGCAAATAGAGAGTGTGATAAGACATTATTAAGACAGCCACTTTCGGACCATGGACCTCCGGGCTAATTTTAAGATATTAGTTGTATTATCGCCTCCCAAGAGGAATACGTCGAGTTACAAATCATCGAGTGAATAGGTTGCTTATGGGACGACGTGCTCCATCATAGACCGCATGTTCGCTTACCACCAGGCGAGATAGTTTTCAAACGTCGCCCCATCAAATGTAAAAAAAACCTATATATAGAAACTAACCTATATAAAGGAGAATCACAGATTGTAAGAATAAAGAAAATCATCCATTCTGTATTCATTTATATTTTTTTTTATTTAAAAAACGTTACCCCACACTTGGGTATTTTCCTGCGTCATGGGAGCGTTTACAAAGATACAAGTTCACTTACACATTACACCCAGACCCGGAACACCCACAATCTGTGAATCACACAAAGAGTTGTTCCGTGCGGGAATCAAATCGACACGTTGCGCGGCAGCCAGTTGCCCAGCCACCAGACCAACCGTGCAGTCAAGTCTATATAGAACATTCTAAGAACTTAATACAAATAAAGTGTTGAAATTATTATGCAAAAGGTATGAGCTAATTATAGTTCTTCCCAGAACGCAAGTCGGACGAACGTATGAATATTTAAAACTGAACCTTATTTCGTGTGTTCTGGTATTAAATTAGTAAAGCTGTTAGGATATACATATGTATACCTACATAAATTAACATTTCAGTGTGTAATAATGATTATTATGTTAATCATGATATTTATTTTGGAAGTCTCTCCTTCTCGGGGTTGACCTGGTTTAATGATGGTATAGTATATGTATGTATATTGTGTTATTATTATTTTTTTATTTTATTTATTTTGAATATTATTTTTAATTCAATAAAATAAAAATTAATTAATTAATATTGGTGTAAGAAAAACATTAAGAAAGATATAATGAAGACCTAAGAAAGCTTAACGTTCGTATGACCAAAACACTGAATAATCCTTCTGAAATAATATTATAAAAATATACTAAACAAGAAACCAAGAAAGCGCTAAAAATAATAATAGTTTAATAAGAATAAAGAATATCAGAAAATCCTAAAGCTAGCTAGACATACAAGCTCACTAATGGATGGTAAAAGGTAAATATATTATATGATATTATTTCAGTATCGAACACAGACTAACAATGGAAACACACACAAAGGCTCATAATAATGAATAATGGTTCTCATCGGTAAAACATTAGCTTTCCGTAACTGAGCACATTTGCTTATAACAACATTATTATAGTTGCACGCGTATAAAATTCTACCTTTTAAGCCTTTGACTGCCAACAGATAATTGCTGAAGGCAAATCCTCCGCTAACGTAGGTCACCGATGTCCTTTTTTTTTGATGACGGGGGGAAACCTTCAAAAGGCGCCCAGCCATTTGGGGATAAAAGACTAGGTAGTGTGGGATTTTTACCTCACTAGAACCACCCCGGTG